TTCAATGTTTTCCCGAAAAGTGTAGTGTCAACCTTTCCTTTAATAAAACCATTTTCAAGCAGAAAATTACTCAATCTTTCATACCAAGCTCTTGGAGCTTGTTTAAAACCATAGAGTGATTCTTTAAGCTTGAAGACATGGTCTGAATGTTTTGAATCTATAAATCCTGAAGGTTGTTTGACATACACTTCTTCAATAATAACTCCGTTCAAAAAATCACTTTTCACGTCCATTTGATATAGAATTATGTCATGGTTGATGGCATAAGAGAGAAGTAGTCTTATGGCTTTTAAACTTGCAACATAAGCAAAAGTTTCAAAAAAATCTATTCCCTCTTACTGATTATACCCTTGAGCTACAAGTCTAACTTTATTCCTAACAATTTCACTAAGTTCGTCAAGTTTGTTTGTGAAGACCCACTTGGTCCCAATGATGTTTTTCTTTTGTGGTCTTGGAACAAGATCCCACACGTCATTTCTTTGAAACTGATTTAGCTCATCTTGTATAGATCTGTTCTTTCTCTCACTAACTCCATTTTTCCGTGGAGTTCCAGGAGAAGAGAACTCATGGATAATTCCATATTTTTCACAAAAGGATTCAAATGATTCATTTTCAAACTCACCCCATGGTCACTTCTGACCTTTAGAATTTTTAATTCTTTCTCAGATTGTACTTGAATGCATAAGGTGCAAAACACTTTGTAAGTTTCATCCTTAGATTTGAGAAACTTCACCCAATACCATATGCTAAAATCATAAACTATGACCAAACCATATTTATTTCCATTGATTAAGGCAATCCCAATAGGACCAAATAAATCAATGTGAATCAATTCCAAAGGCCTAGAAGAAGAGGCAATGTTTTTGTTTTTAAAAGAAGTTTTTACAATCTTTCCAACTTGACATGCTCCACAAAGAGCATTTGAGTGATAATCAATATCTAGCAGCCCTTTAACAAGTTTTAGCTTGGAAAGTTTAGAGATTAATCTCCAGTTAGCATGACCTAACCTTTTGCGCCAGACCCATTTTTCATCACTCATTGTCATTAGACAAACGACCTCCTAAACAACCAATTCATACAGATTGATTTTATAAACATTCCCTTTTCTTTTCCCTTTGAATACTACAGTTTTATCAGAGTTGATAACACAACAGAAGTCCTTGTCAAACAATACATTGCAACCATTATCACAAAACTGGCTTACACTGAGTAGATTATGTTTGAGGCCATCTACAAGCCAATACCTTATTAATAAGAGTTTGAGAATTACCTATGGTACATGTATTGATGATCCTTCCCTTCTGGCCACCTCCAAAACCCACATTTCCTTCCTCTTTCAGATTCAGGGTTTAGAACATACACCTTTCTTATATCATATGTCGTGAGCAGCCACTGTCTAGGTACTAGGATTGACATTCCATTTGTTCCTCTGGGCATATCTACAACAAAGATTATTTGAGATTTAGGCATCCATACACGTACAAGTCCTTTCAGGTTAGTTTTAACAAATTTTCTCCTATTTTGTCCTCTTACTTTGTGAGATGGTTTAGCTTTACTCCAATCATTTTGTTTTAAAATGTTTTGACCGGAGTTACTTTTAATCTTATCAACAGAATTGAACTTATCATGTGATTCAGAAGTTTTGAATATTGATGTCAACAGAATATCTGATTTATCAGGTTCTATTATAACAATGCCTTTTAACTTCTGATCAATAGGTTCAGATGAATTCATTGCTTTAGCAATAGGAACAAAATGGTTACTTAACACAGTTTGAGCAATGCTAGATGAGTATAAATTTTGAAACACTTTTGAAGAGTCATTAGTATTAGAGCAACCTTCATCATATCCTAATCATTCTTTATTATATTTTCTGACTCCATAGATTATAGAAGCAAATTTGGTATAATCAATGCCAAATGTAACAAACTTATGAAAAACCCGATCATGTTTACCTAGAGATGAACACTCGTTTTGAGATATACTAACTTCTTTTAATTCTTCTTTTAAAATGAAGTTATCTCTTTTAAGGATTTTAATCTGATCTGTTTAATTCTTGCAATGACCTAGAAGATTGTTAGCACATGAAATAAAGTTAGAGTAGAAGAATACCTCATCTTCGTTTTCAGACTCATATAGAAGTCCTTCATCAGATGAGTGAGCCATTAGTGCTAGATTGACATTATCTTCCTTTCCTGACTCTTCTTCATCCAACTATTTCCATGTTGATATGAAATTCTTTTTGAATTTGTTTCTGAAATTATCTTTAGGATAACTTCCTTTTTTCTGACTGTTCTTCAGAGGTTCAGGACAATCACTTATGAAGTGATATGGTTTGCTGCATAAATGAGTTGCATTGCATAACGAGTCATATGTGCATTTGTTAAGATGCAATTGATTTGAGGAGTTGGATGTGGGAATGTAATTCATATACCGTGATTGAGATTGTCTAGAATATGCTATGTGTTTAATATTATATCTTACAATATATGCTTGTTATTATTAATTGTGATTTCTCGCCCCTTCAGTTTGAATGTTGCCTTTACACGGGCATCATGCAGATACTCAAAAGCAGAGACGCTATTGTGAGTGAAAGCTAAATCATGGAGCTATTTCTTTTAGTTTCATTATTTTAATTTTGGTTATGCTCTGATAGGTAACACTAGGGAGTGGTTTTCTTTGTTTTATGTTGAGGTTTTCTGAGAGACAATGTATGCTTACGTATGTTTATGTTTTGGTGTGATAAGCATATGTAGAAGACTTACAAGTTGATGCTTTTAATTATAAGATGGAGTTTTATTATGAGATTTAAATTGGTGTGTGTGTGTGTTAATTATGATTTCGCTGCCATGATATTATATGAGTTGGATGTCGTGTAAATATTCCAAGTATGTATCAGATGAATTAATGTCGTGTAAACATCCTGAGTGCAATAATGTGCATTAACATATTGTGTTGCATGTTTATTTAAATTAAGTGTTACATGATCAACATGTGTGTGTGTTTCGAGAGGTGTAAACATCCTATGTAAAAATGTTGTCAAAAATATTTGATTTAATCATAATCATGCGTTGGGAATTATAGTGTTACACTACTTATACTAGTATTATATTTCTCATGCACTTTCTCACATATTGTAGTAAATTTCACAGCTTGATTAACTCTAAGAGTTGAATACAAATTTTCCCCAAGTCATTTAGTGTTAAATATCCTTACGTTAAACTCCATATTTTATGTGTGAGTGTCATTCAATTTTCTCAGTTGCCATGTATCCTCATTTAGCGATTTGGAACATACTACAACTCGTTCACACCCTTCCTTGCATCCCACTTTAATCCTTATCTTATCATTATTTCTAAACTGTAAATCTCTACCATTATTAACATCATAATTTTCTATTGCATCTTTAAACTCCTCCTTTATTGAGAACATGGTACCCAAAACTCATTTATAGTCCACAATCTTCTTAGGCATTACAAATGATAGATATTTTTTCTTAGTACTTTCATTTGAATAGTCACTACTCATATCCTCAGCATTTCCAACTCTTTAGATATATAATATGAATCTTACAAACCCCTATCTACCATTTTTCCTCTACTCCTTTCAACAAACCCAAAATCAAGTGTATCTTCGTCATTTGATGGTTCATTTTCAACATAAGTGTCTTCATCCATCCTTTGTTTTTAAGGTCTTCCTTTTTTCTTGTTGGAACATCCTTGGACCTTCTTTTTCTCTGGTCTACCACCCTTCCTTTTTTCCTTGTGTTGAATAATCCACTTCTAATTTATCCACCTGTTGGTCATTCTGGCCAACAACAGAACCTTCTACTCCTACCAAGATCTCATTAATTCCATCAGTTAATACCTCATCATCAGAGTCATCAAACCTGCACCCTAATGCACTATCATCAATTTGTTCATTAAGGTCACTCTCAACAATTTTTGCATTTTGTTAGGTATCTTAGACAAGGTGTCAATGTCAAGTATCTTAGGCAGGGTGTCAGGTATCTTAGGTTGACCCTCAGTTTGTTGTTTAGTGGGTTGGACACATGTTAATACATATTGGACATCAACTACATTAGATTGGAAAACAGTGTGTACTATGTATAAGTCTACCTTTCCATTAGTCTCAAACCAATTTAACAGTTATATTGCACCAAAGTCATTAACTAGCTCCTTTAATTTACCAGCAAAATCATACCACATTTTAAGTATTCCAAGATACCTCATTTCTTTAACAACACATACAATTTAAAGTTAACTTCATCTATCACCATCACACTTCCAATTTGACACCATCCCTCTTACATATGTCCTCATATCATCAAACTGTCCTCCATAATAAAAGTCAACATAAAACACCTCCATTTTAGAAAAACAATTGTACGTTGTAGAAATTAGTAGAGTTACAAGATGCCACTTACAAAACTTCAAACTTCAATAAAGCAAATACATTTTTGATATGAAAAACTATACATATCTCAACATTCAATACTTCGCTTATTAGTTCGTCTCCCTCAAATAATTCATATCCCTTATTCCTTCGCATCAAATCTTTTTCCTTTCTCAATTTGAAATTTTAAAGATAAGTTAAGGAATACCGTTTAAATTAAGAGGTTTTATCTAATTAAATAAATGTTAATGACATCTATACATTTTGTAAATATGTTCCTAAAAAATAACCAACCTTTTAAACGTTATGTAACTTAAATAAGTGATATGTAGAAGAAAAAAAAAACTTAAAGAAGCTACTTGTTATAATTAAATAACCGACCTGCATATAATATTCCCTTTTATTTAATTATTTATTTTTAAATTTAAGAAAAATAAATCTAAAAATCTATTCGCGTCTCTCTCTTTCTCTCTCTATTTATCTGTTCCAAAACTCAAACCCTACCGTTAGGTTCATTCATCCATCAATCAACAATCAATAGAGCAGTGTAGTGTCCACTGCAGTGCTCTTCATCTTGCTGCTTTCCATTGATCACTTCTCATACGATGTCGTATCGTCCAACTGCAAACTCCAGGACCGAGGTCCGTCGCAATCGATACAAAGTCGCCGTCGATGCCGAAGAAGGCCGCCGACGCCGTGAGGACACCATGGTTGAGATCCGTAAGAATCGTAGAGAAGAGAGTTTGCTCAAAAAGAGACGCGAGGGTCTTCAACCTCAGCAGATTCCTTCTTCCATTCACTCCGCTGTAGAGAAGAAGGTCATTTTTTGTTTAATCAATTTATTTTATGATTCGTAATTACTTTGATCATAGGGTTAAATAACCATCGTATTCTGATTGTTTAATTGTTCAATCGTTGAATTTGAATTGCGGAATACTAGTTAGTTTGTTTAATCACTTGTTCATTTTTTAGATTTGCGCGAACCTAGGTCAGGCTGAATTTTTTTCCTCTGAACTGTAGTTTGTTTCTGTGTTGTTTCAGTTGGAAAATTTACCATCTATGGTTACTGGTGTTTGGAGTGATGATAATAATTTGCAGCTTGAGGCAACGACTCAGTTTCGAAAGCTGCTTTCTATTGGTTTGAAATTGGATTAACTACTCTTATTTACTGTGTAGTGACTTTTGATTAACTAATTAAAGCATTTTTGATTGAGTTTGGTCTTTATTTCCAGAACGTACTCCACCAATTGAGGAGGTTATACAGACGGGTGTTGTTTCTCGTTTTGTTGAGTTTCTGATGAGGGAAGATTTTCCACAGTTGCAGGTTTGTTGTATACTTGGGGGATTTTATTTGTGTGTTTAGTTTGTAACTTAGTAATTAATGTTTTGTTGTATCTGATGTTTGGCCTAAATGTCAAGTGTTGTGTGTTCCAGTTCGATTTAGTTTGTACCTTAGTAATTAATGTTTTGTTGTATCTGATGTTTGCCTAAACGTCACGTGTTGTGTGTTCCAGTTTGAGGCTGCCTGGGCTTTGACAAATATAGCTTCTGGAACGTCTGAAAACACCAAAGTGGTAATCGACCACGGCGCTGTCCCAATTTTTGTGAAGCTCCTTGCTTCTTCTAGTGATGATGTCCGTGAACAGGTATATTTTACATATCTTATTATACTTACCTTCATCTATCTTTAAAATGCAGAAATTTTGGGAAACTGATAAAATTATTAATTATTATTATTATTATTATTATTATTATTATTATTATTATTACTACTACTATTATTATTATATTGGTTTATTTTTAAATATTGGGGTCCTAACATTTTGTGCATGATAGTGAAATGAAATAAAAGGGATAGCTACCAAATTTCAACTACAAAACTTGTTTTGTTGATTTTTGGATTTTGATTTTTATAATTACTTTTGTGGGTGCATTATGTATCTGCTGAGTGGTTTTATTTATTTGTGTACTAGTTATCAAAAGAACAAAAACAGAACCTTATAACTGCACTGTTCCAGCATCTTTTCTTGAAAACTAAACATTTCTCCTGTGCGGTTTTTGTTATGCAGGCAGTGTGGGCATTAGGAAATGTTGCTGGGGATTCTCCTAGGTGTCGTGATCTTGTTCTCGGCCAGGGGGCTTTGGTTCCTCTTTTGGCACAATTGAATGAACATGCCAAGCTTTCTATGCTGAGAAATGCTACTTGGACACTTTCAAACTTTTGCAGGGGCAAGCCACAGCCCCCCTTTGATCAGGTATATAAATATGCATTGCTTATTCACCATGAATCCAACAATCCAGTCCTGGCTATAGTTTTTTTCGGACTACTCTGCCAAGGTCAAATACTTGAGTGGTAGTCATTGTTTAAATTTCCTCTGCCAAGGAAATAGAAGAGGGGTTACAATACTCAATTATTTTATTTTTTATTTTTCATATTGAATCAAGAGTATGTTTAGCGACCCTATAGATTAGTATGTTTATGATCTAGTATTATATAGATTACTTAAGTAGAGCTGGTCTTCTGACCTGTTGAACGGCACTGTTCAGTCTTTTTTTTATTTTCTTTAAGTGAAATCTTTCACACATTCTATCATGGAATTACTGAGAATGCAATTTGGGCAGCCACTTGTACAACCAAATTTTAACTGTTTGTACATGTTTGTGAACCTGGAGGGTTATCCATTAGCTCAATATTTGGTTTGTCCAGTATATGTTTTACTGCTTGTACCGTGCTGCTATTATGTTTAATTTTATGGACCTCACATTTTACTATCTTTTTACAGGTTAAACCTGCACTTCCTGCTCTTGCTGGTCTTATTCATTCAAATGATGAGGAAGTCTTGACTGATGCCTGCTGGGCACTTTCATATCTTTCTGATGGTACCAATGATAAAATTCAAGCTGTAATTGAAGCTGGTGTCTGTCCCCGACTTGTGGAGCTTCTACTGTAAGTACCTCACATCTCAAATTCAACCATGCAATAATGCACGTGCCACTGACATTTTTTGGTTCATTTCTTAATGTTCTGCTTTTGTTCAGGCACCCATCTCCTTCAGTGCTGATTCCCGCTCTTCGCACTGTTGGAAACATAGTCACTGGAGATGATTTGCAAACCCAGGTATTGACTTTTGGAGCATCTCTTGTAGCTGTTTTGCTATGCACATCAAGTTACTTTGCCTTTCTTTGTTAGGTTTACTCTCGGGTTTTTGTTGTTATGTGCAGCAAGTTAATTTGCCTTTCTGTATTAGGGATAAAAAATTAGTGTTACCAGGGGTTATAAGGTTGGATGGGTTGGGAAAGGGACATAAATGGCGGAGTGATAAGGAGATCAGATCAAACTAGCTTCTACTAGCATTTGCTATTTTAAAAAAATACTGGTAGCATGGTTTATTATTTGCAATGTCCTCTTCTATTGTCCTTTTGTTTTAAACATGAATAATCATTCAGATATTACCTAAAATGTTCTAATATTCTGCTCACGTTTGGAGTCGTGCTTGTTTGCATTGTTACCTTCTCTTGGTGCTATTCAGCGATCATTTTTTCCCCCTCTATTATGATATAATCATTTTTTGGTTTCCTGATTAGATTACCAAGGTTTCGCTATAATCATTACACCTCTCACACGCATACGCACCCATATAAGTGTTATTGCCCAAGTCACATGCCTAACTTTTCTTTGGATTCGAGTGAGTTTTCCCTGGGTTGTGAGATAATAAGCTCTATTTTTTCCTGGAATATTTATGACCCCTTTGTCAAGTGGCACCTCCACAAGTTTCTGCTAGAATTCTCATTATCTATTACACAGAAAGTGACGTGTTTCAGTGTTGAAACATGCTTTTCATAAATTATATTATGTTTGTTTGTTTTAACCTTGTGCTTTGTCCCATAGGTTATCATCAATCATCAGTCTCTTCCTTGCTTGTTTAATCTGTTGACCAATAATTATAAAAAAAGCATCAAAAAGGAAGCTTGTTGGACCATATCAAACATTACAGCTGGGAATAAACAACAGATTCAGGTGCAGTTGGGTTGTATGATAATTAGAATTTAATACTGTTTTCGACGATCTGATTGCATTGAACATTTCTTCTATTCCTATTTCTTAATTAACAGGCTGTGATTGAGGCCAATATATTTGGTCCTTTGGTGACCCTGCTTCAAAATGCTGAGTTCGATATTAAGAAAGAGGCTGCGTGGGCTATCTCAAATGCTACATCTGGTGGATCTCATGAACAAATCAAGTATGGAGAGATTCATTTTCAATATCCCCTTAGAGGGTTATTATGGTGGTTTATGTTATTTATTTTTCTTGCAAGATATGAACTATTCTTTGCCGATGACAGGTACCTAGTAGAACAAGGGTGTATTAAGCCCTTGTGTGATCTTCTTATCTGTCCCGATCCTCGGATTGTGACTGTTTGTCTGGAAGGCCTTGAAAACATCTTGAAGGTTGGAGAAGCTGATAAAAATATAGGAAACACCGGTGACCTGAATCTATATGCCCAATTGATTGATGATGCTGAGGGGTTGGAGAAAATTGAAAACCTCCAGAGTCACGACAACACTGAGATTTATGAGAAGGCTGTGAAGCTTCTTGAGACATACTGGTTGGAGGAAGAAGATGAGACTATGCCTCCAGGGGATGCTTCTCAAGCAGGATTCAACTTTGGTAACACTGATGTTCCTTCTGTGCCTTCTGGAGGGTTCAACTTCAATCAGTGATGTTCACGCCTTAAAGAGGGCAATGTCTTATATTTAGCCTTTTCTGGTTAGTCTGCAAATTTTTTGATGAAACTATTCTACTATCTTATTAACTTGCACTGAGTTTAGCCTTTTTTTCATTTGTTTAAAGTTTAATAAGATTTTTTTAACTGCAGGAGTTTTGGCTGGTCTATCATTTAAGTCCTATGGTATACAGGGCAAAGCTGGGGTCGAATCAATATGGTTGTTTCTGTGTTCAACAAGGTCCAACATTGGTAAATAGAGTGTTGCTGGATTGGCTCGGGTTTTTACAATACCTGTTTTTTCATATCTCATGGTGACAGATGTGCGGTGGCTTGATTTTTTTGCCATCGAAGAGAATACTATACATCTCTGAAGTGATGATTACGTAAAATGAATGTTCAGTATCATGGTTTATTTTTCTTAGTTATATGTAGTTTGGAGTCACTTAAGTTTTAGTTAATACAATTGTGGGTCTTTTTGGCAAAATGCCATATGGTCGTTTGGAGTTGGAGTTTTCAGTCCGTACCTATGAATTTTTTGGTCGATAAAGTTTACCCTAGAGTTCAGTTATTCATTATGTTATCTATATTCAGTGTCCCTTTTTTGGTTGACGGAAGATTGTTTTGCAACGTCCTTAAACAGGAAAGTATGGTGCAATCATTTTGTATTATATATAGTTTTACTAAGGGCTTGTATTTCTATATATTCCTGCTTCCCACTCTCACTTTCTCACAAATCTCTGCATTGAGAATTATATTTCTACGAAATTTGTAAAAGTCCGAAATGGGTTTTGAAGGGCGAAGCTCGATTCCTTGCACCATTCATTATCCAAAATAAAGAGTTTCTCAATTGTTGGAACTCAATTTCTTGAGAAATAGAGAGTTTTTAATGCATTTTTGAAATCTCTAATATATTTATTTCCCTGAATTCATCTTAATTTTTTATTTTTGGTTTGGTTTTCATTTATGTAGTACCCATATTTTCAACTAGTCGACTATCTTATCTTAGACGAAAAGACGCCTATGATTTTTCAGAAATATTCATACACATTACTCCCATTTAAAAACATCTCTTAAATTTCAAAATTTTCAGTTTTTATTTTTCAAGAACGTGTTTGGGTGAAAAATTTGAACGAAGAAATTCATATTTTGAAAAATATTTAAAATGATTTGTCAAAATTCATTATTCGAATAAAAAAAGTAAAATCTTGTTAAAATAATAAAAAATTTACGAATTGTTTTGTCTATGTTAAATTTAAGGGATTTTAAATAAGAATTAAATTTTTTTTTTGAAACATTACTTACTCTATAGTAATGTTAAACTGGTTTGTTCTGATTTTTCAAAAATTTTCATAAAATTGTAAACTAGCTTTAATAAGTTTCAATTTTTTTTACAAATAGTTTTTTTTTTTTTAATTTTCAAATCACAAATTGATTTATGTTTTTCAAATTTTAAATTCAGACTTAAACTTTTAAAAATGTTTGAAAAATTTAACAAATAATAAAATAAATAAATAAATTTCAATTGAACCATCACATACACAAATTTGCTAATTTGTTTATGCACCTTTCATTTTCAATTAATCTCTCCTATTTACTTATGCACCTTTCATTTTCAATTAATCTTTTATTTAAATTGGTAATTTGCTCTTCTTTTATATCTACAAAGTTATATGTTTTAAAGTGTAACCAAAACTTGTAACTATTTAAGATAGCTGAAACAATCAAATTAATTATTGTGTATGGTTAAAGTAAAAAGTTTTACACGGTCGATTTATCACCAGATTATGTCTTATTTTATAAATGATTAAAATAAAAGTTAAACTCCTATAAATTTATAATAATCATGATTAATTGACAGTATAAAACTTTTTTATATTAATAATGTATTTTAGTTAAATTCTATAAAAAAACATGTGATTGTGCTTCTTTTACATTTATCGCTGGAATTCTTTCTCTATTTCTAAAATAACTCATTAAGATGATTTTTCTCATGTAAATATATTAAGATGATTTATCACTGTTTTTTTTCTTTCTTTTTTCGTCATTGCTATGTCATCTACATTTATAATACTATTTTGGTTTCTAAGCTTCTCGAAGCTGAAATCAGATATTTTGAGCCGTCCAACTACAGTTTTGATGACAATGCTAAATTTCATTATTGATTTCATTATTAAGAAAGCAATCTTTTAATTTTTTTGACAAGTTTAGGTACTATACCAAAACTTAAATAAACATGTTTCAATGTTGCTTGAGATCTTTCAAATAATAAAATGTGTAAAAATATTAAAATGAAATTTTAAATGTTCTTTAAATGTTGCTTAAGTCTATTTGAAATTGAGATTTATACTTGATGGATCGTGAACCCATTTCAACCCATCTTGATTGTTTTTCCAATTTTATTATTACGAGTTAGAAGATTTTTTAATACACCATATATATTTCTTAGACACCATGCGAAATTTTAAAAATGTCTTTTAATTTTGAAGATGCATATTTAGATGTACATTCTAAAAAATATGTTAATTATTGATCAACTCAGTATAAATTCTGGGGATACATCTCTAAAATATTGGACTCAATTTTGAAATTTTCTACCTTTACATGTTAGATATTTTCGGACATACATTCAAAAATAATTTGATATAAGAAACAACCATATGATCACACAACCATTGTTGCCATTGTTGTTTTTCAACTTAAACCCTTCACCAAAAATTTCTCTATTATCAATCCTTTTTTTCACTCCAAATCTCCATTCTTTTGTTTCATCACATCATATGGAGTTAAAGAAGATAAAATTTCAAAGAAAGATCTTTTATTTTCGACTATATTGCTCATATTAATCAAGATTTTTTCTTAAAAAAAGAGCGTTGTGTCCGAAACTAACATGAACTTGTCCGAAGATGCATTTTCGAAAATAGTCTGTGTTCATTAAGACTCTTTAAAAACGTTGCATCCAAAACAAATTTCTCGTTTATTTTGAGGTTATTCGAGTTTGATGTAGATGGTTTTACAATACCCACAATGTGACTTCCGACCTCCCCTTTTCCATGAGTAGTAAGAACCAAATGATAAGGATGATGACATGCTCGACTCATGGCATGAATGTTCAGACACCTTCCACATAACCATTGCTCTACAACCCTTAAAGACTTCTTCAATACCGTAAATAAATCCCGATCATTCTCAATCGCATACAATATTACACTTTTCGCCCGTCCCTACGTAAGTGTATACGAGAAATACCCTTACTCTCATCTTTATTATCAAAACAACAATGAAACCATTGAAAAGAAGCGATCATTATTTTTGATACTTTAACGTGATAGTAAATTCATTCACAAACCTCAAAATATCATCCTTTAGAATCTTCAAGTGGGTTTTGAAAAAACCTAGATTAAATTCATCTAGACTAGGGCTTTTATCAATATCACTAAGCCAATTACTTATTTTATTTTTTCAACCAAAAATGATGCTTCAAGAGTGTGACTTTCTTCTACGCTCAATTGCTTGAAGATTCAAATTTGGTTCCTTAAATTTTCTTTCAAAATGGTCTATGACTTTCTTTTTAACCTCCTCAACTCGTACAAGCCTTCCTTTCTCAGTGTTAAGACTCATTATGTTATTTCTTCGAAACTTTGCTTCAATATCTTGTGAAAGAATATTAAGATTCTTCACTGCTTCTTTAACTTTTAAATCTATGATGTCAAACACTTCTTAAATTATCTTTCAAAACCTTTCATTTTTCTTTCAACACATAACAAGCTTTCCCTAGATCCTCAGTATAGAACTCCATATCCTCTCCACAAATGGTAAAAATAATAATTTATGTTCCATCCAACAGTTGAATAGTTTGAAGGACTTTGGAACCCAATTCAAATCGTTTCCTTTGATCTGTATTGAACAATGGTCAGATAAATATCTATTTCTCTTCTCTATACTTTCCACTTTCTCTGTACTTTCTTTTTTCTTTTCACTTGAAATGAGCTATTTCCAGTTTATTAATAACACATCACATTTTTTATTCAATTCTCTGTGTTGAGGGAAATTTGTCTTTTTATCACAAAAGTTTACACATAACTCTGATTCACAAAACTGATCGTTCATTTATTATTACTAGTATTTAAATAATAAAAAGTTATAATTCAAAAAATTAACTAGTATTTAGATTTGAATGGTTTCTCACGCTTTGGAGATTAAAAATATGCTTTCAATGAGAGTTGAACTCATGACCTCCCGCTTACTAAACGGGTGCTCTAACCAACTGAGCTATGAAAGCTTTTTGGTAAGCTTTTGGTGTTTCACTTTGTAATTTCTAACAGTAATCCAATAGTTATTAAAAAATTAGATTTTCACTAATTCACTTTTCTGCAAAATTAACACAAAATAGGACAAACCTTTATATTCACTTTTCTGGCATTTTTTTTTTGGTTTTCTTAAACGTAACTGGACATTTGAGAAACTAAAATTATTTTGATTCATTCAATGCCAAAGGATAAGTCCATACTCCATTGTCAAAGTTTACTGAAACTCAAATAAACCATACTAAATCGAATAATTGATTCTTTGAACCAATTCCTGTCAAGTACACAAATCAATGACTTGCATAGTAAACAATCTGTTTATTAATCATCTTGGTCTTGTTCTGTCAAAAAGAAAAGTAGCTACCTATTTTAAATTTCTTCGAATTAATATTGTTGGTCAAATAGGGAAGCAATCTCGAGTGGACTAACAAACTTTATTTTTACTAAAACAACTCTCAACAATTTATTAGAAAGTAAAAGATTTCTCAGGCTATACTATTAACCTGATTGAGCTTAACAACCAATCAAAATCAATTTTCACCGAAGTTTCTTCTCACAAGCTTTGATCAAACATACATTGGAACAGTAAAGGCATTATTGATATAGCAGTCTGCGTTCGAAAAAGGTTAAGCAATCAAGAAAGTCATTAGGTTCTTAGAAGGACAACTTTGTTTATTTCATTAGTTGGCTATATTATGGCTTTAGCTAACAGAAAGCATTTTATTTCCTGTGAAGTTACATGAAAGTCTGTCTCACTTGACTTCCTCTAATACAAAAGATATGCAACTCAATTTATAAATTTTATAACCTCACCAAACCTCCATTTTTATTGCATGAATTTCTTTTATGGAAACAAAATTCTAATCCCCCCTAAATGCAATTGCCTGGGGGAGAAGATATAAAAATGTAAAGAAATAACATGAAAATGACTTCACCACCAAGTTCTGCAGGCAAAGAATGTTCAAGTAGAGGTTCATACAACTGCCCTCTTTACATTTTCTGGCTTTATGTATATTTCTACTGTACTACAACAACCTCTAGAGCTCTTTTTCTTCTAACACACCTAATCCGCGCTACCTCTTCCGTGGCAAAACAAAAAAATATTGCAAGAGAATGAATATTGCCTCTTCATCCACTTGTGGCCCAGCCATGTGTAGTGGCTGTGGTTACTCCAAAACTCCATGATCTTCTCTTAGACAGGCTGCTGTACTATGTCCAAGCAGGCAAGAGATGGTATGTGAATGGAAAGGTCACACCAATGAGAGGTGACCAATATTATAAAGAATATGATATGAAATATCTCGGCGGATCACAAAATAATTTCCTTAATGACTAAGAGAACCAACATAACAAAGCACATGATAAGAAGGACCGTCGCACACATTACCATGCCCCCCTTTTTCTGAGTTCTCTCTGCCTGCATGTCCCATGAACCAAATAATTACCATAAAGCAGAAGAGATAAAGAGAATGTTATAGAGAGGGCATGAGAGAAACTGGAAGCTAAAGTCAACATAAATAGTAGATAATAAAGAGAAGAAGGACCTTCTGCAGCTGTTTAAGGCCATCCTCAACTGTGGTTGCCACATTCTGAATATTGTAGTCTATTCTATCAACAATGGTTCCCTGTGTATAGAGGATGTCATTTTTCATAAGGATGTGGAATTAAGAAAGTTGTTGTCTCCTCACAGAGGGAGAGGATCTGCTGACCTGGTCTATGACTAGTACTGATAAATCCTTCATAATCTGAGCAAGCTCGTTAACAGATTCCACAACCTATAAAAGCAAATAACAAAAACACGTTAAAGAGACAACAGAGTCAAAATGTGTAATTAATGACAGTGCATGTGTATCTTTTTTTTACCTGCTGGATCTCTTTTTCTCTTTCAACTGTGAAAGCTTCACTCTTTTTTAGCTTGGCCATCTGATGCTCGTTAAATATCTAGATATAAATGATGTGGCAGTATCAGTGATCAACAGTTAAAATATATAATATAATCAACTACACCCAGTAAAGAGAATAATCATATGGATAATAGAATTTGTCAATTATTATTCCAGGCTTCCGGTGGACGAATAGCTAATAAACAGGATTAGATAAATGATATTAGCCCGCCTCCCCCTTCTCAAGAATTACAAAGGTAAACCCCCCGAAAAAACTGAAAAGGTAATAGAAATACCATATTGTCCAAGTCATCGTCTTCAAATCTAGATTTACTTCCATTTATGTTGATCTCTAGGTCAACTCCATCTTGACCCTGCATCATCATAAAATGAAAAATGATGATTTAAAAACAAAACCCACACTTATGGTATGTAACAAGAGAATTGAGTTAGTTTCCCAACATGGGACAGAGAGCAAGAGAATAATTAAGGCAAGAAGTACAATTTTCTTCGCTATAATATTCCTTCAAAACAAAAGACCAAGTATACTTCACCACTTGTTCATTGTTAACTGACGATAGGGAAAATCAAAACTCAAGAGATTTCTTTCTCATAGCAAAATAAAAAAGTGTTAAAGTCATGAGAGTAACAGCTTTCTATAGTACTCTCTAAATTAGAATTGAGGGTAAATTAAATTCGTTGATCAAAAGTGAAGCAAATTGATTTGAAAATTTAAAACATTTATATTTATTCAATAATTGATATAAATAAACTATGCCAGTAAACCACAAATAAAAATGTAAATGTATTTTCTTTATTAATGAATGAAAAATTGTGTAACACGGAAGCTTTTCTCTCACCTCTTTTTGCTGTCTGAGGCGCTTCAAATAAGTTGATTGTTTCTTGCGAAGCTCTACAGAGAGGCTTTGAAGGTCAGTAGCAAGAGAACGCTGCATACAGTCCAGACAAATAAGAAAATGTTCAGCAAACTACAACTAGTACCATTATAGATTCTTCCAACTACATATGGATGCGGAAATCAAGGCATTTTGGAGATTATTTCGCCATCCATCAATTTAAAGAAGTCGAAAAAGGAAGATAGATGCTCATAATGGAAATTAGAATTTAGAGTCACTTTTGTTTGAACTCGGATTCTTTTAATAAAAAATAGTAACCAAATGATCGTGGTTAGTGTACTATATCTGCTTGCCCCAACCATATAACTCAGAGCAATATATTTGAAATGATTTAACAAAGCACAAAAACTTATGGTTGACTTGAATTGAAGTATAGAAATAATAAGTCACTGAAACAAGAACAGGTGGAGACCGAAGAGAACATGGAGTGAGAGAGCAAATCAGTAAATAGTTTATAGGTTCATTTTCCTAATCCTCTCCTTGCCATGTTCACTTTATAAGATCTTTGAGTTCTAAAGTCTAGCAGACTTAAAGGCCAGAATAATGTCAACGAACTTGGTATAATTGGCTGAGCAGCACTAAAAATAGGATAAACTACATTTGCTTCTGCAGAAGTGTTTTATATGTGAAGTCCTACGGAGTTTGGACAAATTATTTGGCATTATTAGAGAATATATGAGTCCGTCCTTCCACTTTTGAGAAGTTTCTTCATGCTATCTTCAAAGCATCGCTAAAAATAAGAAGACAAAATTGTATAAGATGATTGTTTAGCTGAAGCAATATGAACACGTCTTTAAGGGTGTTTGCATGCCCTTGGAAGTGTTTTATGATGGAATTGTCTCTAAAGCTTTGCCCTACACGTGCTTAAGGGCATCTAGAAAACCCATTGGCCATGGTTTTTAGGTCTGCTCATACCTCATAGGCTTACACTGATTTAAATGGAGCTTCCATGTTTCTCTTTTAGTGTTTTTTGGATCTTTTTCTTTTTATTTTTTTCTGATTTGGATCACGTCTACTCACCTCTCTCACTCGCTATAGTTTCTCTATTTTCTCTGATAAATACTATCTAGAATTGAAACGATATACCATACCAGTGATACCATGGTAGAGGCTATTGTTTAGTTTGTGAAGATGAGACCACAAACATTTCAATTTGAATAAATCATGTTAAGATTTTAACTTGAATAAATCATGATAAGAGTCCCATATTAGAATAAACAAGCCTTGAAAATATGTTATAAGTGGGGAAAATCGCCACCTTACAAGCCAGTTTTTTTAAGATTGAGTTAGACCCAATCCAACTTCTAAAATAGCATCAAAGTCCATTCAAAATCCATTGGGCCACCCATTATCAGACCACTCAGGTCCCACTCCAAATATCTAGTCTTCAGCGTGAGAGTTGCGTGTTAAGAGTCTCACATTGGATTAAATAAGACTTGAAAATATGATTATATATGAGGACAAGACAATCCTCACCTTACAGGCTGGTTTTGTAAGGATTGAGTTAAGTCCAACCCTAAATTCTTACTGGTCTAAAACAAAAATGCATCTCCTATTAAAAGCATTAAGTGAAAGTTATGTAGTGATAACTACCTGCACATTTTTCCTGACATTGGAATCCTCAGAAGGACCTGCAGCAGCAAGTCTCCGCAGTCTCTTCTCTGATCTCTTTATCAAGTCAGTTATCTCGTGTGTTAGAGACTCAATAGCGTGTTGGTCATCCTTACCATCTCCAAACGATGGCATTAAGGCCTTCGCATGAGCCTTGGACAACTCTGCCATTTTTTTGCGGGCACGTTGCACATTTGCTGATATTTCTTCAGATACATCCACCCATGCCGGAGGTAGCCCAACAGTAATTGGATTTAGAGCCTTACTGCATCCGCAAACACAATTAATATCCTACAATTACCAAGTCTCATATAACCTGTAGCATGCATGCATGTGAAAAGCAATAGACAAATAATCGAAATGTGCATAATAGTTTTATAAACACATACAATCCAATTTTCAAAGGAAAAATTCCCTTTCCAAGACAATTCTAATTCCCAAAATAACGGACGAAGAAAATAAAAAATAAAAAACTTAACTGTAAATAATCATTAAATTCACTATTACTGGACGATCATGATTCCACTTTGTTAATTTGCATATGCAGTTAGTTAAACAGTCTATTACATGTCACTGTTAGTTGGGTCTAGAAATAGTAGATGATTTTGGTAATTCACTCATTCAATTCATTAGTTGAGCCACTCTTCTGATCCTTATGTTTGCTCTAATGGTATCAGAACTCCTTTTTGGGGCACTGCTGCACTACTCTGCTTTCCAAAAATTCCAAGGAACAATGGCGTGGAGCTGTACCAGCTGGCGCAGCTTCTGAACATGTGCCAAATTTTCAATTGCAATGGGACCTACTGAGAACACATCTGTACTGTTGGTCTCGATTGATGAATAAACCTATGGTTTTGAAGAAAAGGCAATATTTTTTTGGTGTTAGCATTCCAATCACGATCAGTTTGATCCATGCTTCAATACGTAGGAACGGTATAATAACCAATTATGTTCTTGAATTTTAAGCTCAGTCACCCCCTCAATCACTCAGAAACTACATTGGAAGTGCTGCTAGAGTGTGGAAGAATCTGGAGGAAAGATTTTCCCTAGGAGACCTTGTCAAGGAAATAACTTGATTCTTTTAAACAGACATGTTTTATGTTTCAGACTATTATACTAAACTTAGGGTTCTTCCAGAGGAACTTGATAACCATTGACCCATAAAGGAATGTTCATGCTCAGTCAAGTGCTCATGTGATGCAATTTGAAATGCATTGATATATGATGATCAAAATAAGGTGATTAAACTCTTGATGGGATTAAATGCTCGCAAGCAGCACCACAGAAGACAGCATCATTCACTGACAGCGGGCAAAGGGTAGTCCTCCCTCCTCTTCACTCTCGTCATCTCTTGTTGTCGTTTCTCTATCTTTCCCTCTCAGTCTCTTTCTCTTAATTTACTTCTTCACATATTACACTTTTCTAATTTCTTCATTTTGATTGAATCTGTATTAGATTTCATAACTCGACAGGAGCTCAAGGTGGAGGTTGCAGAGCTCTAAGAGAAGATATGTGTTCACAAGTACGTGCCAAAAACTAATTGCAGAAGCTACAGATTATGCAATGTCGACAACAATTAAACCCACAATCGCCCTTCATGGATGATTGCACACTTCTTAATCATCACATGCCGCCTACATACAATTGTTTTGATGCAGAGGGTAAACAGTTGCACGCAGTTGCAAAAGATGGATCAACCTAATGGTTAGGAATGCTAGTCTACCATGGATCACCTATAATCTGTGAGTGGAAAGATTTACAGTTTCTCTGAATAAACTGGAATCACAATCATCCTGTAATAGATACATTTTCTATTTAACTAATGTCATATACGCTTTACTAATATTCTAAGCTACTTCATGTTTCGATCCACAAACTTCAAAAGTAATGTGAGCACTCTTAATTACACACTTCCTTTTTTGTATGAAAATATATAAATCAAAAATAAACTATGGATCTAAATTGAAATGCCACGAGTGTAAGCATTTTGAGAATTGATCTACGATAACACCAATAAAACTGTAAGATCTGTGAAAACGGACCTCGAACTACCGGGATCCTCAGTACTAAGTGGAGCATAAGAGCGATTCGGATTGAGAAGCGAGGTGCTGACCAATTCAATGACGGGACCGTTGGCGGAAGATGTGGACGTCGGCGAAGAGATTGACGGAGCACGAACACTCTTCAATGCGTCTCTGTACTTTCGGAAAAGCAAAGTGCGATTCCGTGTCGCCATTCAGATTCCGAAGATCTGAAACCGAAACGATACACAGAGCGAATTGAATGATGCTACGTCGTTTCGTTACAGTTTAACCAACCGGAATGAAGGAGAAAGAAAGAAGAAGGGAGTTTGGGACACAGTCAGATCGCACCCTCACGTGATCTAAGTTGACGATGGAATAGAGAGTCACGTGACGTGCCTTGTACAACCGTTTGTATGCTTTGAATGGAAGCACAGTTAGTTTGGTTTACTTTAACCATATGACTTAGTAATGATTCAAATCTCTTTTTTATTTCAACCATATATCTCAACAAAGTAATTTAATACTATAGTTTTTACTAACATTTTATTTTAAATATGAACCTACACTAAATAATTTTGAGAAATGATGGAATCTATTTATAATAAATAAATACATTTTTTCAAATAATGGAAAGATATAAAAATAAAATATGTATTCATGACCTCAAAATATGTGATTTTCTTTTAACAATTTGGAATAATGATAAATTTTATTACTAAAAAGAATAATACAAAACAAGTCGATCAATCGATTCAGGCACAAAACAACTAAACGACAAAACTATCAAAAAAACAATAACTAATAAGTTCCTATTAAGTTCAGCTCTTCTAAGGATAACTTCAATAATCTCTTCACTTCGAAACTCCTCCTTTTTGCCTTCTTGAAAAATAATCTTGTTCCTTACATTCCAAATCTTATATCTAGTTTCAGCTAAAGTTATTATAATTAGACTTCTCTTGCAACTTTTACCTCTAACATTTTGCACGATCCATAAAAGTTCCATGTCCCACGCATCTGGATTATGATTACAGCCCAACCAGTTTAATATGGTATCCCAAATTTGATTGGTAACCTCGCAATCAAAGAGCAGGTGCTGACAGGTCTCAATATTTTCGCAAAACACACACAGTCCATCGTTTCCATACCAAACTTACTCATACGATCTTTAGTAAGTAGTCTTTTATTGCAAGTTAACCACAGAGTGAATATTGCTTGAGGCCTAGCCAAATTCTCACTAATTAATTTCCTCCATTCCACCTTAGGTTTGTTGTCCTAGATCATTTGATAGATCTTTCTCATTTGTTTTTGCCATTTTCTTAGACTTCCTTCCAAGCATCAGACTGTGCTAACATATTTATATGCTTGAAAATTGCTTTAAAAATCCAAGAACTATTTAGTCCATGTTGATAACTACTAACATCTTCGTGTTTCATATAATACTTGTGAATCCTGTAACAACCCAAATTTCATTAAATAATTAATTGTAGTAATTAATTGATTTAGTGGGATTTTATGTTAATATTGGAATTAATTTTTATTAATTGGAATTAATAGAGAATTGAAAGGAAATTGGAAGGAAAGAAAATAAAAGGGATATATAAGTGAGAAAGAAGAGAAAGGAAATTAGAGAAAACATTTGGAGAGAAAGAGGAAAGAAAGAAGAAAGAAGAGAAAGAGAGGAGAAGAAGAGGAAAAGTGGAAAAATCATCAAGAACCAACATCAAAGCTCCGATTAATCGAGGTAAGGGTGAAAAATGTTTCTATTTGATCATTGCATGATGTTATGTATGTTGGGTTGGGGTTTTGGTAGAGTTTTCATCACTTTCCAATTAGGGCAAATGTTGGATTAATCGGTAGATTGATGATTTAATCGGTTGGAACTGAGTAATAACGCCGTAGAATAGTCGGGTAACATGTATTGATGTTATTTGTACTGATTTGGATGTTCAAGAGTTGGTGGATGGTGGAATGGTGAAGGAGGGACAGAGTGTGGTTCTGTTCTGCGCAGGTTCGCTGGCTCTCGCCAGGCGAGCGAAGGCGAAGCTTCGCCAGGCGAAGCCCAGCGAATGCTGGCGAATAATTAAGTTTAAGTTCCAGTGGACTTCGCTGGCGAGTTCGCCAGGCGAAGTTGGATAGCGAAGGTTCGCCCAGCGAAGGTGCTGGCGAATGGTGGCGAATGAAGTCAGTAGCTACTGACATGGGCTCGCTGGGAAGTCTCGCCAGGCGAAGCCTAGCGAGTGTTCGCTGAGAGAGTTCGTCAGGCGAAGGCCAGGCGAAGGTTCGCTGCGAGGGTTCGCCAGGCGAATGAAGGCGAATGTGACAGCATTTTTCTTTTGCTGTGTTGCTCATGTGGTGATTGTTTGATTGATTCACATAGGTTAATACCTCTATGATATGATATAGATATGATCTATTGTGATGATGTATACTGTGGGTAGCCTCCGGGCGTGAATCCTAGTTGATGTGCGATGCGTATTAATTATGATAAATAGAAATACATGTGAATACAATGATGAATGTATGTGTATTGTCTAATGAACTTGCGAATGCTTAATGGGTATACAATTATGTGATGAGTATGTATGAGAACATTGTGGATATGTGTGCATGACTTATAATAGTATAAATGGTATTGTGATGTGAATACCTTGATTGTGTGATATATGTTGTATGTGCAATCATTGTGTAATTCTTGAAGAGATGAATTATGTAAATGCATGAGATTAAGATGTCGGTCTTAAGTGCATTTGTTGTGGTTGATTGTACATGCATCATTTAGTCAAGAGGCAATGTCTGTTAGTTTCGTGGAAACTAGTGGCTTGTCCCAAACCTAGAACAGTGGGTTTGAAGGCTTAGAGGACGGGCCTTTGTGGTTATCGGTCTAGAAGGGTGGACCCGGTTTAATGTAAAAACCAAAAAAAGATAACGGGTTATCGGTCTAGAAGAGTGGACCCGGTTTAATGTAAAAACCGAAAAAAGATAACGAGAGTCGGTACCGCATTGCATGAGTTGCATTGAGTTGTTGAGTCACATTAATATATGACATATGCATAAAGAGATGCTTATGTGTGAATGATGAGATTGTGAAATTGTGAGAGTATGCATGATGTGGAAATGCTTTACAAATATTCGTGTTGTCATTATATGTGTGGCAAATATATATGACTAAGAAATTGAATTGTGGTGAGAAATACGGAGTGGAACTTGTATTGATTACCTATATATATATAATCTTATGCTTTGATTATTATGGTTATATTTCCCACCCTTCTGCTGTTTTATAATGCTCTACGAGGCATTGCAGATTAGGATGCTGGAGTCTCTTTTGTGAAGTATTCTTCATTCTTTTGAGTCTGCTGCTCTGATATGTAACACCGGGTAGTTAGACTAGTATAGTCATTCTTTTGTGATACATTGCGATATATCAGTTGATGTGATTGTGTAATCTAACTGATATGATGTATTAATTTGGATTAACTTGTGTGTACGTGGATTAATATTTTGAAAACGATTAAATGATTTGATCTTCCGCTTAATTTTGAAAATGTTACATATCTTATGGAGAAAAATGTGAAAGTGTTTTATTGGTGAAATTGTGGCATTCTTCTTTTATACCTTATTATAAAACCTTTTTACTCTTATAATTTGTATGTGCTTAATTGTTTTATATGCATTTATTTGGGGTATAGAAGGGGGTGTTACAGCAGTGGTATCAGAGCAGGTCGGTCCGTCCGGCCAAGTTGTTAGAGTGTTTTTTTTCCTGTGTGTTATTGATATGCGTGTGTTGCATTATCAATATTGGTTGTTCTTACGTGGTTCTGTTGCTGGAATTAGTAAGATGGTTGCGGGAAGGAACGACGAAGCGATTGCGGAGGCATTGACGAGATTGGCGGGGGCAATTGGGCAGAATCCTCCGGCCAATGTGAATGTGAGGAATCATGCTGATGATGGATTCCGTGCTTTGGGGAAATTCCAAAAGAATAACCCTCCGGTCTTCAAGGGAACTCATGAACCGGACAAGGCACAAATTTGGTTGAAAGCTGTGGAAAAGATTTTTCGAGTTATGAATTGCTCGGATGCACAGAAGGTACATTTTGGGACTCATATGCTCGAAGAATAAGCTGAAGATTGGTGGGGTAATACTCGCCAAAGATTTGAGGAAGATAATATTGTGATTACATGGGATTTGTTTAGAGAAACCTTTCTGGAGAAGTATTTTCCAGAGGATGTGCGGGGGAAGAAAGAGATCGAATTTCTTGAGTTGAAGCAAGGTAATTCGACGATTGCTGAGTATGCGGCGAAATTTGAGGAGTTGATCAAATTTTGTCCTCACTATAATACTGGTAATGCTGAGAGGTCTAAGTGCCTCAAGTTTGTGAACGGTTTGAGACCCGAGATTAGACAAGCTATTGGGTACTAGGAAATCAGACGGTTTTCTGAGTTGGTTAACAAGAGCAGAATTTATGACGAAGACAGTAGGGCTAGGTCTAGCCACTACAAGAGCCTAAGTGATAAGAAAGGAAAAGGACAATTCAGAGGAAAACCTTACGTAACTCCTGCCGATAAGGGGAAACAAAAGGTTGGTTTTGGCAAGAAGCCAAGTGGGGGAATTTCTACCCCGGTTAGGTGTTACAATTGTGGTGAAGCGGGGCATCGTGCTCCGGAGTGCAAAAGTGTTGAACAGAAGTGTTTTAAGTGTGGCAAGCCAGGCCACAAGTCTCTAGAGTGTAGAAGCGGTGCGGGTGTTACTTGCTATAATTGTGGTGAGCGAGGGCACATCAGTACCAAGTGCGATAAGCCGAAGAAGAATCAAGGGAGCGGGAAAGTGTTCGCTCTATCTGGATCTGAGACTGCTAGCGACGATCGATTGATCCGAGGTACGTGCTTCATTAATGGTACACCTTTGATCGCTATAATTGATACCGGAGCTACGCATTCTTTTATTTCTTTGGATTGTGTTAGAAGGTTGAATCTTGAGTTGTTTGTGATTGGTGGCGGTATGGTTATTGATACTCCTGCTATGGGTTCGGTAACTACACCGTATGTTTGCTTGAATTGCCCGTTGAGTATTCTCGGTAGAGATTTTGGGATCGATTTAGTGTGTCTTCATTTAGATCAACTGGATGTCATTATTGGAATGAATTGGTTAAAATTCAATCGTGTGTATATTAACTGTTTTGACAAAACGGTTATTTTTCCCGACTCGGATGTT